TAAACTGAAAAAAGAGTTTCCAAGCAGAAATACAAGGAAATAGACATTCACAAATTCAATTACCTATTGAGTTAGGATGAGGCCACTTCTCAATTACAAAAAGATAAAAATGAGCACTGGCCGGTTTGGCTCAGTGGATAGTCTGCCTGCAGACTGAAGGGTCCCGGGTTCAATTCTGAGTAAGGGCACATGTCTGGGTCACAGGCTTGATCCCCACTAGGGGGCGTGCAGGAGGCGGCTGATCCATGATTCTCTCTCATCAATGATGTTTCTATCTCTCTCTCTCCCTTCCTCTCTGAAATCAGTAAAAATTTATTTTAAAAAAATGAGAAATGCTTTAATCCAAAGGTTGCTTAAAATGCAGTTTTGCAGCAAGGGTGAAATCACTGATTATCATACCTACTGTTGAGATCTCTGAAAGAGTAACATGCCTCAGATTAAAATCCAATTAAAAGTTTAACACTAGTTAATCCCTTAAGTTGGACAAAATGGCTCAAGATTCTAAGGGTATGGCTCTCCCATCATCTGTTGGCTAGATGTCACTTTTGAGTTAGCTTCACTGAGGAGGAGTCCAGGACAATCTGCAGCTAGAAAAGCAAGTGAACTAAATATTTAGTCACCAGGAGGGCTGACTGAGTCACTTCTCTAATATTTTGTTATATTTACTTACTTTTAAATCCAAGAGCCAGAAATTGTTTGTAAAGAAAAATAGCAAATAAATAGTATGCTATTTCCTCCTAGGGTTGATGCTTACAACAGGAAAATGGACATTAACTTTTTTTTAAAAAATTAAATCCTCACCCATGGATATTTTTCCATTGATTTTTAGGGAAAGTGGAAGAGAGAGGGAAAGATAGCAAGAAATATCGATGTGAGAGAAACACATCCATTGATTGCCTCCTGCACGGAGCCTGCAATCGAGGTGCGTGTCCTTGACCAGAATCAAATCCAGGACCCTTCGGTCCGCAGGCCAACGCTCCATCCACTGAGCCAAACCCGCTAGGGCGATATTAATTCTTAAGCAGAATTATCTTTTTATGATACTAGATGTAACTTTTTAATTACTTAACTATTGTTTTAGTCCACTACATAGTTGTCCAGTATTTTTCATCCAGGTTCCTTTAGAAATTAAAAGAATATATATTGAGACTTCTATATCAAGAAGGTAATGACTTATTACATAGTGGACTTAGGTAAGCATACCTGGATTTGAATCCTGGCTTTATTACTTATGTTTACTAGGGCAATCTAAATATTCCCCCAACAACATTCATGTAATAAATATTTGAGCCATATGCCAAGCACTGAGCTACATTCTGGGAATACAATGTGATTTTTAGCCACAAAGAACTTCGTTTCATTTCTTAATTTGTAATATGTGGATAACAATTATCCAGTGAGCAGTCTAAGAGAGGACCACAGTGAAGGTCAAATGAGACTGTGAAAGGGCTTCCAAGATTGTAAAACACTACACAAACATTTATTCATTCAAACATTTATTGAAACGCCAGGCATTGTGCTAATCACTACAAATATAACACTGAGCAAGGCATGAGGTCCCTGCCCTTATAAAGCTTACAGTATAGCAATGATTAATAACAAGTAACAATTAAGTGTGTTAAGTGTATGGTTGGGGGGAAAAAAAGGTACTTAGGGAGGGCATAGAAGGGGCACATAGTCTAGTGGGCATCAATGAAGGCTTCCTAGAGGAAGTGGTATATAAAGTGAGACCTGAAAGATGAACAGAAGTTTATCTTATCCTAACAGCAATGGTGAAGGCAGTGGAGTGATATGACCAGATATGCCTTTTGGAACAATCTGGCTGCAGTGTGGAAAAGGATCAAAACCAGAGAAAGGGAGACTATTGAGGAGGCTGTCGCTATCATTTAGGTAGGTTGATGGCCTGAATTCAAAGAGTAGCACTGGAGAATTAAGAAAAATGTAGATGGTGGACTTAACAGAAAGGTTTTTATGAATGCTATGATGTATGAAGAGGGAAAGTCATGGATAACTCAGGTTTTGGCTTAGGCAAGGGCAACTGAATGGGTAGTAGTGGTGGTACCATTTACCAAAAGGGGAAACATGACAGAAGCAGGTTTAGGGGCAAGATCAATGACATACTTACTGTGCTGCCTGAGACAGCAAAATGGACTTAAGTTGGCAAATTAGATATATGAGTTAGGAAAGGCTTAGAGAGAAGATATAAATTTGGGAGTCATTTGCATATAGGTGATACTTGAAACCATGAAAGGAAATGGGATCAGTTAAGATGATGTAGAATAAGAAAACTTAACTATCCCAAGAACACAGATATTTAAGGGAAAGAGGTACCTGCAAAGACGATTGAGCATGCATACCTGGAGACGGTATCTCCCCGAAGCCAAGTAAACATCTACTTCAAGGACAGTGGTCGGTGGTGGTATCAGAGGGTAAGAATATTCACAAAAACTTTGTGAGCTTGATTGTGCAGTTTGAGTGACAATGTGGGACAACAGGAATACAGACAAATCTTTAAAGAAAACTTGTAGGAATGGGAAATATAGAGACATAAGTTTTTTTTTTTAAAAAAAGTACTTTAACTGTATTCACTAACACAACAGACCAGTAACAACTACTTTTTAAAAAATATTAAAAAAAAAAAAACCTGCCATGCACTTACAGAATTACTTAACACAGAAAACAGTAAAATACACATTTTTCTTCTACAAACAAAACTAGTTTATAGCAAATTCTCTATTACTCATGGTCAATTTAAAATCCTTTACTTATATCTCCCCTCCCCACCCACTCAATGACTATATGATGCGAACTAATTTTATTATTACTGTAAGCAAAATATATACTAGAACTTCACAAAATGTACAAGACTTCAATATTTGAGGAACCAGGGTTAGAAAGCAGCAGCAGCTTTCAGGTATTCTAGTCATTCTTTCAATAAAGCACTTGCCATGAAAGAGAATACTCCAAACTATTGGGAAATTACTGGTAGATTTGTTTGGTTGGATTTTCATTGTGTTGTTTTAAGCCTACTCCGTTTACCAAAATCTCAACTTGACCATTCTTGACAAGTATCTTGTTATAAAACTTGCTTTTCTGCCCTCAATGAATTATATATAACAGATAGAGTCCTTTAATCTGGTTCAGTATTGATTTACAGATTTATAAATGCTATTGTGAGCTACCAGAACATGTCGAGGCTTTTACCTTACCAGCCAAACTCAGAATGTTGGAATAGTCTCCCCTATCAAGTTTGCCCAACTTGTTCTTCTAATTTTGCTTCTACCGGTAATTTTCCCTGTCCCTCAAAATAAAATAATCTACACTGGGGGGTCCTACTGGCACTTTGAGAGGAATGATAATTCCTGTGCCAGGTTGACCTATGCACTTAAATGCCATCAGAACCCCCCACCAACTAGGACAACCAAAAAAATCCCCTGTATGTCCCAACATCCTCTGGAAAGAGGGTTTACTGCCTCTGATTGAGAACCACTGACACAAGTTGGTTCTTTTGGCACTATTTTGATTGCTGAGGCATCAGTTCCTTCTCAATTCCTAGTTGTATCCTGGTTCCTTGAATTTGCTGGACTAATGACCATAGAATAACGTGTAACAATAGTTAAGACAGGACTTTAGCACACGTTTTCAAATTGTACTTGAGGATCTATAAACTGGGTCCTGTTTGGAAGTCATTTTACATATTTGGCTTTACTATACGATTTCCTTTTCATGGTTAACATAAGTTTGAAAATTACTGTTTTAGCACAAAGCCGATGGCTCACTAGAAATATGAAATTCCTAAAATCTGAATAAAGCTGCTTCTTGAGTTAAATACTTCTACTTGTGCACTGTCTTAAATACAGAATGTGGGGCAGCTTCAAAATCTCTAATAAATGCACTTCTATCAGCTAACAAAATCTGGTCTATCACTATAAAGTAAAAAGTTCCCTTTAAGCAGGATTTCTTTATAAAGCAGTAACACCCATGCAGATAGGACAAAGAAGCTAAAGTATCTCACACCTCCTGATCCTGGAGTGCAAAAATATTTTGCTTCATCCTTCTTGCCAGGGCCAAACATTTGTCTACAATAGAAAAAAAGCATTACTAATGGGCAATCATTAAGATTCTATACTTACCATAGTCCTTTAATAGGTGAACTAGTAAAACAGCACCCAATTGTGAAAAATTCAGGGGAAACCTCCAATAATTGGTTAGTCTGACCTCCAAATTGCAGGAAGCCTTCTAATCAGCAATTTAAAAATAATTCTTGCCCTAACCGGTTTGGCTCAGTGGATAGAGCGTCGGCCTGAGGACTCAAGGGTCCCAGGTTCGATTCCGGTCAAGGGCATGTGCCTTGGTTGCGGGCACATCCCCAGTGGAGAGTGTGCAGGAGGCAGCTGATCGATGTTTCTCTCTCATCGATGTTTCTAACTCTCTATCCCTCTCCCTTCCTCTCTGTAAAAAATCAATAAAATACATAAAAAAATAAAAAACAAAATTCTTGCTCCTAAAATTTTGATTATTTCCTCTATTAGGAATATCATTATCACTGTGGTGGATAGGGAAGAGGTCAGAGGGAGGAAATCTGCCAATATTTACTCCAGACTCACAAATGTTTTTTAAAAGTTTCAAACATTTTGACAGACAAGTTCCTCCACTGAACGTATGTTCTTCCTTTTCAGGAACTTCTGAACTTGCTATGTGAATTTCTGCAAATAGGCTCAAACATACAATTAAGGAGATGATAATTTTAGACTATATGTATCAGAATTCTAACATTTTTTAAAAATATGACCTAAAATTTCTTCAAAACACCTTAAAAACAGACTCCTAATTCAATTCACATCATCAGTACTAAACTTCTTTAAAAACAATTGTCATAAAAGCAAAAGACAACAACGACTTTGACATTAAGTTTGAAAAGAGGTGTTTCACGTTCCAGTCCCATGCTGCCTCTTGAGATGAGGTGAAAAAAAAAAAGTCAGAAGAATCTCAATATTCACATCATCAGTACTAAACTTCTTTAAAAACAATTATGTCATAAAAGCAAAAGACAACGACGACTTTGACATTAAGTTTGAAAAGAGGTGTTTCATGTTCCAGTCCCATGCTGCCTCTTGAGATGAGGAGAAAAAAAAAAGTCAGAAGAATCTCAACTGTTATCAGTTTGAATGAATAAACTTGGTGCATTCTCACGCTCCAAATGAGTAAACTTGAAAAGTCAAATTTTTGCTTTTAGGACTGGATTCTCGTTGAGTGTTTGTTTCAAAAGCTTATGGATTAGGAGGATTTCTTGCTCTCACAAGGGCATCCCAATGTGGCTCCATTTCAGTTGTGGCGATCCTAAACAGGGCGTGGAGATGCTCATCTGTTAACGGCTGGCTCAAAGTGTGCTGGTTTCTAACCAAATATGAAAAAGCCTTTTCGCAGATTTCACTGCTATCAAACAAGGATGCCACCTTATAGGCAACCCCTTTGATAATCGGGTAAGTTTCAGCAGACAATCCAGCATAGAACTGTCCCAGGTCTTTGTTTCTGTATTCCTCCCAAAGGTCAGAATTTGCTTGAAGTTTTGTCAGCTCCATCCTTACTGCAATAGGTGCATGTTCAGCTTTAAAGTTAAATGGATTTGCAAAGAGTTCTAAGTCCTTTTTAATGAACTTGAGGTCCTTGAAATGTCTATCAAATTCTTTTTGCAGGCGACAGATCACCACTTTATACCTACCCGGATCAAGAATTTTGTCTTCTTCTTTAATATGCTGTTTAAGCTCATCAACGACTTCTCTCAAGGCAGCAAAGTGTGTTAGATTTTTTTCCTCAATATGTCTGTGCAGTAAATTCAGCTTAGCATCAAAGCTAGAAATATGGTCAAATGCAGTAGCAGCAAAGACTCTATTGAATCGCAGTAGTTCACTGAGGTCTCGGAGGTGGTTCATAATATCCACCAAGAAGCCAAAATCACAAAGCCACTCTGGGTCTGAGAAATGGGCTGTTGTTGCCCCCACCGAAGCCAAGAACGCTTCGATCTCTCTCCTTAATGAAAATATTAGCTTTAAAGTCTTCCCTCTTCTCAGCCAATTGTTCAGACACCGTCCATTAACCCTTTCGCCATGCTCTGACTCCGACGAAGTTAGTAAAGCCTGGAATTCGGGTCGCCGGATGCCTCTTGTCTTAATCAACAGTATCCAGTCCGATACGGTACTTATGACCTGATTAACATCAACGTCGTAGGAGCTCAACAGCTCCAAGTGAAGGAATCCCGAGTAATGGATGACATTCCAACAGTTGGGGCTTACAGCCTTTTCTCGCATGTACGACACCAGTCCAGAGTTCTCACCAATCATCCGCAGGGTGTGGGTGGTGGTTAGTCCCACCATTCGCTGCAGGCTAAGCCCGGCCGTCTGCAGGGCCTCAAGGATTGCCGCCATGAGAGCACCAACACTGAAGTGATTAGTCAGGTTGATAATGGTCAGCAGCTCTTCCTGCACCTCCAAGTCCACGTCCACGCCGCGGACAAAAACCAGGAGGTAGTTCTCATAGGCCACAAAGGCCTGGTCATCCAAGGCCAGGGAATAGGCTCGAAAGTCCTTGGCTCGGTTAAAAAGCTGGCTGCGGAGGTTCTCGTTAATGTTCAGGACCCTCTGCCGGATGGTCTCGGGGGATAAATCAATGCCACCCAAGACGCCTACGTGGTCCGGCAGCACATCATTCAGCATCACCTCCAGGCACTGGTACACAAAGTCTCCCTCACCCCCGCCGCGACCCCTCAGGGCCAAGAGGCGGGCGATGCCGAGGCCTGCCCGCGCCGCTCTCTCCTCTGGAGTGGGCGGGACCACCTCGGGAATGTCGCCCTGCCGCAGGCGCTCCACCAGGGCCTCGCGCTCGCCCTCCTCCACATACCGCTGGTAGTACCTGTGCTCGGCCTCGTAGTGGCGCCTGACGTCGCGTTCGCTAGCGGATACGACGAGGTGGGCGCAGACCAGGCAGCGGGCCCCTTCGCCCTCCGGCGGCTCCACCACCAAATAACGCTGGGTCCACTCGGGCCGGAACCCCCGAGCCTCCTCCACATCCATTTTGCTTCTCTTAGGTGTCATCCACATGATGCCGGAGGTTAGAAGAGCGGAGCAGATCTCCCGGAGGCTGCAAAGAGACAGGCGGAGTAGGAGCAAGCGCCAAACGCCACCTAAGCTCTGCGCAAGATCACCCGAGCCGCGCGACACCGAGCTCCCGCTAGGGCATCTGCGTTCCGATTGGCCGAAAGAGCGGACAGTGATTTCTGTCGCGCAAGCGCAAATCCTTCTAGCTGCTGGGCGGAAGCTGCTTTAGGGTGGGACGAAGAGGCCCAGGAACCCACGGACCTAAGGAACTTGACTGACGTTCAAACTGCCCAATCAATAGCTCCCTCGCTCGGAAACGGCGCTGCCGCAGGAAAGGGTGGGGGAGGGGGGCCGCGCCGCGTACACAGAGTTAAGGGAATAGCGTAAGCACGAAGCACTGTAGTGATTGGCTGACGGCACGTCCAGTGAGCATCTCGACGTGACCTGGACTCCTCTGGCGCCAAAATGTCGCTTGTAGCGGGCGTTATTCGGCGGCTGGACGAGACTGTGGTGAACCGCATCGCGGCAGGGGAAGTTATCCAGCGGCCGGCTAATGCCATCAAGGAGATGATCGAGAACTGGTACGGAGGGAGTCGAGCCGGGCCTCCTTAGAAGCTACGACCTAACGGGCCGCGCAGGGATGGCGCGGACACGCCTCCCTGCCCTCGGCGGAGGCGTGTACAGCGCATGCCCACCGTGGCGGAGGCTTTGGGGGTCCTGCCTTCTCGCTTCCCGCGCGCTGTCTAGAGATTTTTCTAGGTTTACGGGGGGCGCGCGCCGCGGGCTACGTAGTATCGTTTTAATGGTGCCATTAACTAAGGAATTGCCTCTCAAGTTATAGTCGCAAAAGATGCAAGTTTTCAGTGGGAGAAAAACATCTCCTTTTTTTTTTAGCATTTATTTTTTTTTTATTGCTTAAAGTATTACAAAGAGCATTACATATGTCGCCTCCCCCCCCACATCTCCGTCATCCTTCATCTTATCAGTTACATGCTTATTCCAAAAAAATCATGCACATTCAAGAGTACAAATTTTGAGTTTTATTATAAATAGTCAAGATTTTAGGACAGGCTGATGACCTTTCTCTGGGTTTAACTTGTGATTTTCCTGTTGCCAAATTAGTGATCCCCCTTGGTGCTTTCCTGCCATTTTATGGCATATTCCGTGGATTCTGAAGTTTGGAAATGCCACACAATGTGGAGGGAAAAGGTTAAAAACATGGAAGGAAAGATGGTGTAAACTGTAAACCTCAAAAAAGACATGTTCCTAACATTGCGTAAGAACTTTGTGTTAAAGTCAATTGTTATTAATGAAATCCATACCTTAAAAGAAAAAAAAAATGCCCCAGCGAAGAAGGGCACGTTTAAAGGGATTTGTTGTGAAAACAGACTGCCCGGGAGAGCGGGACTGAAAGAACAGTGGGTCCGACAGGCCTGGCAAGGGCCAGGCGGGGATTAGGAGGCAGACAATAGCGGGAACAGGGAACCAGGGCGGGCTTCTCCTTTTGACTTTAATTCATAAAGGCTGGCTTGTGTCTGCAGTGTTAGAATGAACACTGAACGTGCTGGGCCTATTGTACTGTGCCAGACAGAATCCTGTACAACAAAACTAAACATTAGCTCAGTAGCTTATCATTAATTCCATAAGCAGAGACTTTTTATGGATCCAGTTATGCTCCTTTTTTTTTGAATCGTCTAAAGCAGCGGTTCTCAACCTGTGGGTCGCGACCCCTTCACAGGGTCGCCTAAGACCATCGGAAAACACATATATAATTACATATTGTTTACAGTAGCAAAATTACAGTTAGGAAGTAGCAACGAAAATAATTTTATGGTTGGGGGTCACCACAACATGAGGAACTGTATTAAAGGGTCGTGGCATTAGGAAGGTTGAGAACCACTGGTCTAAAGTTTTACATATGTCTCCTTTTCCCCTCCTCCCCCCAGCCCAGCCATCCCCACCCCAGGCAAGGGGCCCTCCTCCTCTCAGTGTCTGTGTCCATTGGTTCTGCTAATATGCATGCATACAAGTCCTTTGGTTGCTCTCTAACAACCCGCCCCCCCCCTTCTCCTGCCATTTGTCTCTGAATCTATTCTTGTTCATCAAATTATGTTGATCATTATATCCCACATATGAGTGAGATCGTGTAATATTTATCTTTCTCCGATTGGCTCATTTCGCTTAGCATAATGCTCTCCAGTTCCATCCATGCTGTTGCAAATGGTAACAGTTTCTTCTTTTTTAATAGCAGCGTAGTATTCCATTGTGTAGATGTACCACAGTTTTTTAATCCACTCATCTGCTGATGGGCACTTACTAGTAGGTTGTTTCCAAATCTTAGCTATTGTAAACTGTGCTGCTATGAACATACAGTTATGCCTCTTTTAATATGTAAGTCAAGATGGCTAAACAACTTCAACTCAGGGGCTCCTGAGAAAGGTTTTTAAGTAACGTATTGTCTTATTTCTAAAATAAGGAATTTCTGTGTGAGGAATCCATAACTTATCTTTCTCACACAGCACCAGCCTGAGTCTGTTTTCTTTAGCAGGTGCTCTGTGCTTGTAGGCTATTCTCTGAAGGCACAAAATATTCATTAGCTTCTTAAAGAACTTTCTGCATTGCCATATTTTCTTTCCCCCAATATATATTTTCTGAAGGAAAAGGGAAGAGTGGAGAGAAACATGTAGAATTTTTAACAACATTTTAATAGAGTCATTTAGGAACCTGAGGCTCAATCAAGTTCGAGTAACAGATGGTTGAATTAGTAGAGAAGAGGGTAAGAAAAAGGCATGTGCTGAAGGGACCTACTTCTAACGTCACTTTCCTAGAGGAACAGAAATGGTGGTGAATATCCTTTTGGAGATGATGGTTAGCCCCTTCTGCCTCTCCCCTTTCTCTAAACATAACAGTGTAGTCACAGAGCCTGTAAAACAAAGGAAAAACATGGATCAGACAGTCTTATATTTATTTGGAGTTTGTTTTTTATTCGTGGCTCATATGAAAATTTGTGCATTCAGGTAGTTACAGACTGATATTTCTTTTTCTGTTTGATTTGCCAGTTTAGATGCCAAATGCACAAGTATTCAAGTGGTTGTAAAAGAGGGAGGCCTGAAGTTGATTCAGATCCAAGACAATGGCACCGGCATCAGGGTAAGTAGAACCACAGACTCAGAGGAGCAGGATGTTTGCGTGCTCGGTGAGATACCTGCAGGAAGTGGCAGAACCTTTCCCTGTTCTAGGAACTGGGCTTTAGTGGATGGGACTGTTTGACTGAAAAATTCAACAGCAACAATAATTGTTTATTGGGTTCCTATTTTCTACTGGGCCCTGTACAGGGGAATAAGGAGGTCAAAGGAGTGAGTCATGAGGCCATTTAAAGGATGAGTGTTCTGGGCAAAGAGAGCAATATCTGCAAAAACCAGGAAATGGAAGCATGCCTGACATATTTAAGGATCAGCAAGGAGGCCAGTGTGACTGGAACAGGAGATAAGATCTGAAAGATAAGCAGAATGTGGGCCTGTGGGCCTGTGGGCGGTTGTGAAATCTTCAGCTTTTACTCTCACTAAGGGGGAATGCTGTTAGAGGGTTTTGAGCAAAGAGGTAACGTGGTTTAGTGAGTTTTATAAGAACCTCTTGTCTATAATTTTTTACTACAATTAAATGTATCTGTAAAATACATCTAGATTTTTACTAAAGAAGTTTTATAAAAACTGGTAATCTTTATAAAGATCCATGAGACAGGATAAGATTGTCAAGAGAGTGTGTGCAGGTAGAGAAGAGGGCCAAGGGTGGTGTCCTGGGTTACTCCACTGTCAGGGAGTAACAGAACCCAGCAAATGAGACAGAAATGAGACCAGTGAGGGGGAAGGAGCACCAGGCCAGTGTGGTGTTCTGGGTGCCAAGTGAGCAAGTTACTGCTCATTTAGAAACTCTTCCCCTCAGAGGAGTATCTTCTTGGATTCATTCAAGAAGAGGGAGATTCAAAAGGATTTTGAAAAAAATGAGTAATATAATAATTTACTTACTTTTTGGTATCTTCTAGAAAGAAGATCTAGATATTGTATGTGAGAGGTTCACTACAAGTAAACTTCAGTCCTTTGAGGATTTAGCTAATATTTCTACCTATGGCTTTCGCGGTGAGGTAAGCGAAGGGTTCAATAAATGTGTGAACTATCCGCCTGTGATGACATTTCTACCATTTGTCAGCATGTTTCTCGGTAGATAAACAAGATATGATACTATTTACTTGTTAGATACAAGTAAATCTAAACAAACTTAAATTCAATTTGCCAAAACTGAGACTTGTTTATAAATATTTAATATACCATAAACTTTATCTATAGGGACCCCTGTGACATTATGTATTTCTTGATGGAAGAATGAAATACCACCTACAAAGGCTTCCTGTCCAAAAATAAAATGGGACTCTGATCAGTCGTTAAATTTAAGTACCAATACACAGAAAATACAGGGGGCAAAGGAGCACAGTAAATGATACTGAGATTGGGAAACAACATGATAAAAGGCTTGTTTCTTTCAACAAATGAACTGCAAAGAAAAGAAAAGTAGAGAAGGGAGCAGGAACCTGTAGATGACAAGAGATTTAAGAGCCATATGAACCATCTCCAAAATATAGCTCTTCCTTGGATTCTGATTTGAACAAAGTGTAAAATTTTTTTTGAGGCACAGATATTTGAACACAGATTGGTTATTTGACAGTATTAAGAAATTATTGTTAATTTGCTTGGTTTAAAAACAGCATCATGGGTTATTTTTGAGTCCTTATCCTTTAAGATATATACTGAAATCTATGTGGATGAAATTATATGATGTAGCATTGGAATATATGTTATAGAAAATAGACAAAAATATCTTTAAGACTACCATAGTATCTTACTTTTTTTTTCCCTTCCCCTCCCCTCCCTGCCTCCCCAGCATCTTACATTTTTATGACGATATTCTGTGGATATGTTTTCATTCATAGACCTACATAAATTTGAATGGCTACATACTATTCTATGACATGTATATACTGTCTATTCAGATGGTTTCTTTTTGAATGTTTATGCTCTTTGCTACTTTTTCCTGTGTAATGCTCTGGTGACTATTCATGCATATACACTGTGTTTTATTCAGTTATTTCCTTAGGGTATATTTATAGAGATAACATTCATAAGTAAAATATGTATACTTTTCAAACACAT